AAGACTTTAGTTTACACACACACAACTATAACCTGCAAATAGTATATATATTTACATATATATATACTATATATATGTAAATATATATATATATATATATGTGTGTGTGTGTGTGTGTGTGTGTGTGTGTGTGTGTGTGTGTGTGTGTGTGTGTGTGTGTGTGTGTGTGTGTGTGTGTGTGTGTGTGTGTGTGTGTGAGAGGAGAGAGAGAGAGAGAGAGAGAGAGAGAGAGAGAGAGAGAGAGAGAGAGAGAGAGAGAGAGAGAGAGAGAGAGAGAGAGAGAGAGAGAGAGAGAGAGAGACAGTATGAGAACTAAGAGAACAGTGTTCCCTCAAGCCCTCATGGAGACAGGCATCACTTTGTTAAGAAACATGTTGAGACTTCGAGATAATGGAGCAAAGCTCTTAGTAGCCCGAGACTCTACCTTCAATATTTACAACGAAGCATGAGTTAAGGCACCTCGGAGGGCAGCCTCGGAGGGCAGCTGCCTGCCATCAAAATTTATTACAAATTAAACAGCCAAACTTTAAAACTTTTCTATTAATATTAAAAAAAAATGTCAGAAATATAATTTTTTTCTCGCGTCTCGTAAATAAAACTGGGTTTGAAAAGTCATTAATTTCTGTTTTTCGTGGAATAAAATGTTATTTTTTTTTTTATTTGTGATTTCTCGTGATATTAAGGTGTTTGGAAATTATCACACATACATACACGCACGGACAAATACATAGACTTTTGCAGGTTAAATATCACATAGCTGACACGTATTTGTGTACACACACACACACACACACACACACACACACACACACACACACACACACACACACACACACACACACACACACACACACACACATTAGGAAGCCAAATAAGGAACAGGAAGACTCGTGGGCCGGATATAATAAGTAAAACTTATATATATATATATATATATATATATATATATATATATATATATATATATATATATATATATATATATATATATAGTACGAAGTGTAAATATATATATGATGCTACAAGTTCAATTTTTTGAGTTCATTATAAATGTACAATACCCCAAAAAAGAGAAGTTAATCACTACATTATTTTTTTATGTTGTAACAACGTTGTTAAAAATGTTGTAACAACATAGTTTCATAACGTTGTAACAACATAGTTTCATAACGTTGTAACAACATAGTTTAATAACGTTGTAACAACATAGTTTCATAACGTTGTAACAACATAGTTTCATAACGTTGTAACAACATAGTTTCATAACGTTGTAACAACATAGTTTCATAACGTTGTAACAACATAGTTTCATAACGTTGTAACAACATAGTTTCATAACGTTTTAACAACATAGTTTCATAACGTTGTAACAACATAGTTTCATAACGTTGTAACAACATAGTTTCATAACGTTGTAACAACATAGTTTCATAACGTTGTAACAACATAGTTTCATAACGTTGTAACAACATAGTTTCATAACGTTTTAACAACATAGTTTCATAACGTTGTAACAACATAGTTTCATAACGTTGTAACAACATAGTTTCATAACGTTGTAACAACATAGTTTCATAACGTTTTAACAACATAGTTTCATAACGTTGTAACAACATAGTTTCATAACGTTTTAACAACATAGTTTCATAACATTGTAACAACATAGTTTCATAACGTTGTAACAACATAGTTTCATAACGTTGTAACAACATAGTTTCATAACGTTGTAACAACATAGTTTCATAACGTTGTAACAACATAGTTTAATAACGTTTTAACAACATACTTACTTGATGTATTAGTAGAGTATTAATCCTCTTAATTATAATTAAAAATAATAGCACATAATTGTCCCCTCAATCTATAATTAGACACCAGGTGTATAATTTGTATTTCTCTATAATATATCAGTACAAGCAGAGCTGTAGTCAGGTGTGGGCAGAGAAACAGAGGTTTAGTCAGATGTGGACCAGAGAAACAGAGGTTTAGTCAGATGTGGACCAGAGAAACAGAGGTTTAGTCAGATGTGGACCAGAGAAACAGAGGTTTAGTCAGATGTAGACCAGAGAAACAGAGGTTTAGTCAGATGTGGACCAGAGAAACAGAGCTGTAGTCAGATGTAGACAGAGAAACAGAGCTGTAGTCAGATGTGGGCAGAGAAACACATCTGGACAGAGCAAATTGCTCTGTTTCATGTCAAGAGAATAAGCATGAAGACAATTTAAAACTCCAAAATGTGTGCAATCACGCTCAATTACGCCAAAAAATAGCAATCAAACATTACATTTTAAACATTCATTTTAGTTTCGAAACAGCATTGCAATTTCATCAAAATAGGTCAATATGTCCGTTTTCACTTATTGGCATTTTTCCCGTATAGAAAGACGTAATTTAAAATTTCAGATATATGCAATCACCCTAAATTACGCTAACAAAATAATGACTAAGAGTCATATTTTCAAACACAGTATTTTTTTGGTTTTGAAAATGGAAGTTAGTTTGATTAAAATTGCAAGATATCTCCATTTTCTATTGGACCACCGTGTTATATGATGGATTATATATGGAAACCTATATCAAAGTCCATGATAAATTTCTAGATTACCAATGAGGAGACCATCAAGGATTGAGAGAGGACCTGCAAAATATCTTGAATAAAAATATCCAAATCCGCCAAGAAAATGAACAACTCCACAAGGGCCGTGACGGGGATTCGAACTTACGTCCGAGAGCATCCCGGACGTAGGTTCGGGATGCCGCCAAGAAAAATTATAAATTTGCCAATAATAAATTTAATTTTTGTTAGTGCGATTTGTTGACGGAATTGGATTTTTTTTAAGGATTTGACTTTTTTTAGTTAGCAGAATTTAATTTTTTTGTTAGAGGAATTCAAAGAAACTTCAAATTTGAAACTTCAAAATGTGTGTAATTGCCCTCAATTACCAATAAAAAATAGCACTCGAGGTGTAACCTTGACGAAGTGTATACTTCCGTGGAAATAAATATTTCATATAGATTGAAACATAACATTACCTTATTAAGTCTACTCATAGCTCAATCGATAGAGCTTCGGTCTGACACACTTGGGGTCTAGAGTTCGAGTCTCCTACAGCCCTTGACGGAATTCTTGCAACCTATTCCGATGGTTTAAGTCCATAATGGTTATCTTGAGGTTATCTTGAGATGATTTCGGGGCTTCAGCGTCCTCGCGGCCCGGTCCTCGACCAGGCCTCCTGTTTGTTACACCACCCCCAGGAAGCAGCCCGTAGCAGCTGTCTAACTCCCAGGTACCTATTTACTGCTAGGTGAACAGGTGCATCAGGGTGAAAGAAACATTTTGCCCATTTGTCTCTGCCTCCACCTGGTGACAAATCTTACAATCTTCTTCTCCAGTATCAGACCTTGACAAAGATCTTACAACCTAAACAAATCCACAAGGGCCGTGACGAGGATTCGAACCTACGTCCGAGAGAATCCCAGACGTAGGTTCGAACCCCCATCACGGCCCTTGTGGATTTGTTCACTGAATGCATCACGCTATTCTGATTTCTGTGTGTAATCTTACAACCCGTTTCAGACCCTGACAGGGATTGACTGGGCACCATCGCCAGGATAGCGTGGGTGATAACAGCCACGGCGATGCCATCAGGAGTGCCAGTCGAAGGTGCCAGAGTGATGGTTGAGGTTATTGAGCGTAGCGGAGTGCCAGGAGAAGTTATATAGACACAATCATTATAGAGGAAGAGTGCCAAGAATTCTAGATCAACTTTTGTGTATTTAAGAGTACGACCCGGGAGCCGGTCGGCCGAGCGGACAGCACGCTGGACTTGTGATCCTGTGGTCCTGGGTTCGATCCCAGGCGCCGGCGATAAACAATGGGCAGAGTTTCTTTTACCCTATGCCCCTGTTACCTAGCAGTAAATAGGTACCTGGGAGTTAGTCAGCTGTCACGGGCTGCTTCCTGGGGGTGGAGGCCTGGTCGAGGACCGGGCCGCGGGGACACTAAAGCCCCGAAATCATCTCAAGATAACCTCAAGTTGTTTGCTGGTTTTAATAGTATATTATTGGTGTTATATTTTGGTTATACGTGGATTATATACTTGGATTATATAATATTATAATATGAAGATACTTGGATTATATTCAAGTATATATTAATATTCTCGAAGATTCATAATCTTCTTAAGAGAGCAAATATCCGGGGCTTAAGAATGCTCAATATCTTGCCAAAATGCCCAACCACTTGGGATAGACGGTAGAACGACGGTCTCGCTTCATGCAGGTCGGCGTTCAATCCCCCGACCGTCCAAGTGGGTTGGGCACCATTCCTTCCCCCCGTCCCATCCCAAATCCTTATCCTGACCCCTTCCCAGTGCTATATAGTCGTAATGGCTGATCACTTTCTCCTCATGGTTACCTTCCCTTGTCGAATGTTTTTGAAGCAACTGGCAATGATAAAATTATGTTCGAATATTTTGTTGTTGGCAGAAATGAGTTGTGGTAAAAAATTTCGAGTTAGTTTGTCTCATATCCTTAATTTCTTTTCCCATAGTGTGTTGAGCACTAAACTTAAAGCTGTAAATTGGATATTTTAGATGACATGGGAAGCCAAAATCATTAGAAATGTGGAACACACAAGAAAGATATATATATATATATATATATATATATATATATATATATATATATATATATATATATATATATATATATATATATATATATATAAACATGCTTGAATGGGCCCCAAGCATATATGCAACTGAAAACCCCACACCCCAGAAGGATTCGAACCCAGATAGCCAGGAGCACTAGAACTGGGTACGCCATGGTGCATAGTGCTCCTGGCTGTCTGGGTTCGAATCCTTCTGGGGGATGGGAGTTTTCAGTTATATATATATATATATATATATATATATATATATATATATATATATATATATATATATATATATATATATATATTAGATTAGTAATAAAGTAGGAACATAGAAACTCTATTTTACTATCAAGTTTTATTGAAAACATCGTAATCTGCAGCAACATGTCAATAGATCGTCTGTGTAGTATTTACACATAATTTACACAATTATAGAAGTCACGTACATATAAAAAAGTGCACACTTTCACAAAGATAAGTTTTGAGAACTTATTAAACTTGTAAATACGAACGTGAGCGCAGTAATAGGTATTGTCCAAAGGTCCAAATGTTCACACACACACACACGCGTGTCTGTGCTCACCCCCCTATTACTACCCACTACAGGTCCCCCCCATTTCGCCCCATTTCCCCCCACCATTTGGGCTGTTATTGCTAGGAGCGCAACGCGCCCTGAGGCTCTGTTACCTGTTGTAGACACGTTGGGTCGCCCTCTGGATAGGTGCGCGGGCATCTAGCCTTGCGCGGCCAAGTAGATGAACTGCTGGCGCAGTCCATGCCCGGGAGCAGCACAACCGGCTCGTCGCTGCGGAACGACGTGGTCATATCCTGCCCGTCGTAGAACGTTCCGCCGTAATAGTCGACGACCTGCGCATGCTGCTGCTGCTGCTGCTGCTGCTCCAGGGAAGGTAGAGTGCCGCTGCCCCCCTGGAGGTGCTCAGCGCTAGAGAGCACCGTTACCAGAGGGCGCCTCCATCATACTCTTAGCTCCTCGTACGCTGGGATTTTGCCCCTAGGCGGCGCTGGGACATGCGCCGGCAGCAGAGGCTGCGACTCTGCTGCCATCAGCCGCGGGGGTGGGGGTGGTCGAGGCATCGTTACCTGCTTGTGCTGCAGTTGCAAGTGCTGTTGTTGATGATGGTGCTGCTGTTGTTGATGAAGCTGCTGTTGTTGATGAAGCTGCTGTTGTTGATGAAGCTGCTGTTGTTGATGAAGCTGCTGTTGTTGATGAAGCTGTTGTTGTAGCTGCTGCTGCTGCTGTTGCTGGCTGCCCAGCAGAGTAGCACTGCCATTTGGTATGGTAGGCGGCACCACCGCGACGCAATGCCCCCCCGCCTCGTGAGTGCCCGGGGTGTCTGCGAAAGCGGCTGGGCACTCCGAAATGTGAGTGAAGGCTTGAGTGTGCGTCAGTGGCGAGGGCGGCGGCGCCTTGAGTGCTGACGTGGCTGTCAACGGCTGTTTCGTCACCTCCAAGTTCATACTCGACCCTAATATAGGACCGGAGGACGAACTAATGGCCGCCATTTGCTGTTCGCTGCTGCTACTGCTGCTCTGGTTGTTCCGCTGTTCGTTCTTGTCGCCCATACGCGAACGGTCTCGCTGGTAATACACACCCGCGAAAATCAAGATGTTGAGGATTAATAGCGATACGCCGATCGCGATCGTAACGGAGAGTGCGGTCGAATATGCGATGTAGTCGACAGTCTCGGGTTTCGTCGCCTCGGCGTGAATCTTATCGTTCGGATTCCCTTCCGGCAACCGCGGATCGGAAATATTTCGCGCCGTTCGCGGCGTGGTGTAATACCGCGAGAGTAGCGAGGGCGTAGTCGGGGACAGCGAGAGCGACGCGACTGTTGTAGCAGGCAGGATGTAGTGCCCCGCCATGTGGTGTAATGACCGAACGACTCCCGAATACAGATCGGGGTCGTCGTACGGCGAGAACAGGTGGTGAACGACTGACAACTCCTGCAGTTGGTCTTCCGGTGGCAGGTCTTCGGCCTCGGGGTCACGTAGGGTCAGAAACTCCAGCCGTCCGACGCGTTGTAACTGTGGCACTAACCAGGTCCACAGTGCCAACTGGTGGGCCCTATAGTGGTCCCTGAGCCGGGGCCGAGGACCTGAAACACCAATCATGTTGCAATGCTGTTCATCTTCAATGTATATAGTTATAACGTGAACAAATCCACAAGGGCCGTGACGAGGATTCGAACCTGCGTCTGGGAGCATCCCAGACACTGCCTTAATCGACTGAGCTACGACAGGGTAAAAGGGTTGAAACCGAAGTTCTACTGAACTTACTGGATTCAACCCTTCAAGGGAACTTCAACCCTTTTAACCCTGTCGTAGCTCAGTCGATTAAGGCAATGTCTGGGATGCTCCCGGACGCAGGTTCGAATCCTCGTCACGGCCCTTGTGGATTTGTTCATTTGATGCATCACGTTAGTGTGATCTGTGTGTGATAGGTTTAACGTGCTTGTTCTTCGTGTTATAGGTAATGTTATTGTTATGTAATGTTGTAGATAATGTTATTGTTCTCTATGTGGTAGATAATGTTCTTGTTCTCTATGTGGTAGATAATGTTCTTGTTCTCTATGTGGTAGATAATGTTCTTGTTCTCTATGTGGTAGATAATGTTCTTGTTCTCTATGTGGTAGATAATGTTCTTGTTCTCTATGTGGTAGATAATGTTATTGTTCTCTATGTGGTAGATAATGTTATTGTTCTCCATGTGGTAGATAATGTTCTTGTTCTCTATGTGGTAGATAATGTTCTTGTTCTCTATGTGGTAGATAATGTTATTGTTCTCCATGTGGTAGATAATGTTCTTGTTCTCTATGTGGTAGATAATGTTATTGTTCTCTATGTGGTAGATAATGTTATTGTTCTCCATGTGGTAGATAATGTTATTGTTCTCTATGTGGTAGATAATGTTCTTGTTCTCCATGTGGTAGATAATGTAACTGTTCCTAACATACTCGAGAATAATGTCCACCAAAAAAAAAAAAAAAATAGCTAAAATAACAGGAACAAACAGCTCAATTTTCAGTAAGGTAACTCGCATCTTGCAGGTCTGAGTTCGATCCCTGATGACCCAAGTGGTTGGCCAAGGTTCCTTCCCACCGTCCAATCCCAGATTCTCTTCCTCCTATCCCTTCCAAGGGTGACACAGATGGACTGGCTTAGTGCTTTCTCCTCACAAATACCTCTCATATCCCAACCCGTTCTCGCACTTTCGTATAGTCAATATTGACTTATTAAATACGTGCATATGTGACATACTAAACATACTAGTTTATCTTGAAAAGCTTCATAGAAAACACCGACCTTACCTAACCTTCTTAGTATGTTTAGATAAGCATCTTATTGCTTCGTAATTACAATTATTACTTAACCTATTATAGGTATATTAATAGGTTAAGTAATAATTGTAATTACGAAGCAATAAGATGCTTATCTTAACATACTAAGAAGGTTAGGTAAGGTCGGTGTTTTCTATGAAGCTTTTCAAGGTAAACTAGTACGTTTAGTATGTCACATATGCACGTATTTAATAAGTCAATATTGATTGTAAGAAAGTGCGAGAACGGGTTGCATATCCTTATTTCTTCTATTTCTAGTCAAACAATAGCACTAGAAGACACAAGAGGTCGGGAAATGGAATCATGAAGTAGTTACACAAGCCTCTTACAAAACATATACATTTTCATTAATCACAGAGGCTTTGTTTTTAGGTTGTAACTCAGCTTGAGCGAACAAATCCACAAGGGCCGTGACGAGGATTCGAACCTGCGTCCGGGAGCATCCCAGACACTGCCTTAATCGACTGAGCTACGACATAGTCATGGGTAGACCCTTGTGGATGCAAACGTTTTCACGACGTCGATCCAAAACGTTTTCAAGACGTTGATCAAAAACGTTTTCAGGAGGTCGATCAAAAACGTTTCCACGAGGTTGATCAAAAACGTTTTCACGACGTCGATCAAGAATGTTTTCGAGAGGTCGATCCAAAACGTTTTCAGAAGGTCGATCGAAAACGCTTTCGCTAGGTCGCTCCAAAACGTTTTCACGACGTCTATGCAAAACGTTTTCACGACGTCGAATCAAAACGTTTTCACATAGTTGCATTTCTGTAATGACTGTAATTAGTGCTGCTCATTCACGACTATTTGCTATCAAAGCCTTCGGTAAGGACATTGCCGGGAGAATGCTTTATTAAGCTTGCATGCCTATGCAGTACTTGGAAGGGATACGAGGATGGCATTAAAGATCTGTGCCAAACCCTTTATGGCCATTGGAGGATCGAACACCGACCAGCAAGAAGGAAGTCCGTCGTTGTGCCAACCAATCCAACTGGGTGATCAGACACAAGTACTGACGAGCTATACAAAATACTAACCTGTGACAATATATATTAAAACAAACACGAATACATAGAGAAATCACATCCATATAATATATCTATGCACAAATCCACAGGAGCTTTGATCAGGGTTCGAATCTAGGGGGGGGGCCTCGTAGCCTGGTGGATAGCGCGCAGGACTCGTAATTCTGTGGCGCGGGTTCGATTCCCGCACGAGGCAGAAACAAATGGGCAAAGTTTCTTTCACCCTGAATGCCCCTGTTACCTAGCAGTAAATAGGTACCTGGAGTTCGTCAGCTGTCACGGGCTGCTTCCTGGGGTGGAGGCCTGGTCGAGGACCGGGCCGCGAGGACACTAAAAAAAAAAAGCCCCGAAATCATCTCAAGATAACCTCAAGATAGGCGTAAGGTGGAGTCGACTAGAGGTTCGACACACAGATTCGAACCATCATCAAGGCTCCTGTTGGATTTGTTCAAAAAAACAAGAAACAAAATCGAAACACTTACTTATTTCTAAATACTTCTGGTACACAGGATCGTACTTGTCCCAAACGAGGTTCTTGAAGCGGTATTTCTCTTTGACGTCAATGAACATATCCTGCTCGACCCGGAAATTGGGATTCCTACAAAGGAGACAATCTTGGATCAGAGAGAGAGAGAGAGAGAGAGAGAGAGAGAGAGAGAGAGAGAGAGAGAGAGAGAGAGAGAGAGAGAGAGAGAGAGAGAGAGAGAGAGAGATACAGAGAGAGAGAATCTTGGATCAGAGAGAGAGAGAGAGATTGAGCACGAAGATGTAAACAATATATAAGCCACAATGAAACACATGTAGAAAAAATAATTCAAGCCCACATACACCTCTCCCTCCCTCCCCCCCCCCCCCAAAACCCCTAACCCAACCCTCTTCTACGACAAGTATGGTACATGTTGGCGCTCTTTTAGTCCTGGGATTACTTATGGTAGGCCTAGTTAAGACTGTTGGATTAGGGGCTGTTTGTTCATGTCCGGCAGAATAGCAAAAGATACATAAAGTTGATTATTTTGGAGGATGGACTGGCATACACATATACTTGTCTTGCTCATACTGTGTAGAGCAGTAGAAGCATGATAGGGAGTTGGCTGTCGGCTTAATTGGCACATGGAAGCAATAATATATATATATATATATATATATATATATATATATATATATATATATATATATATATATATATATATATATATATATATATATATATATATGTCGTACCTAGTAGCCAGAACGCACTTCTCAGCCTACTATGCAAGGCCCAATTTGCCTAATAAGCCAAGTTTTCATGAATTAATTGTTTTTCGACGACCTAACCTACCTAACTTAACCTAACCTAACTTTTTCGGCTACCTAACCTAACCTAACCTATAAAGATAGGTTAGGTTAGGTTAGGTAGGGTTGGTTAGGTTCGGTCATATATCTACGTTAATTTTAACTCCAATAAAAAAAATTGACCTCATACATAATGAAATGGGTAGCTTTATCATTTCATAAGAAACAAATTAGAGAAAATATATTAATTCAGGAAAACTTGGCTTATTAGGCAAATCGGGCCTTGCATAGTAGGCCGAAAAGTGCATTCTGGCTACTAGGTACTATATATATATATATATATATATATATATATATATATATATATATCACCTAAATCTTGAATGGTCACAAAGGCATCAAGCACTAAGAACTCTATGATTCGATCAGGGTTCGAACCTGCATTACTGGGGCTCACTCCCCTGGCGAACACAGTAACATAACCATCTCACCAGCCATTGCCTAATGGCGGTGAACGGGTTATGGCACTGTGACTACCTTTGTAGTGCAAGTTCGAACCCCTAGTCGGGTTCCCATCAGAGTACATATGTAGAAGGTACGTGTATTCAGATCCTAATCCGTCCTCCGTAAAATCAAATCTACATTATGTCATTTGTTATACAACAGAAAGGAACCAAATCGCAACAAACCCCCTAACTACAAAAATAAATTATCAGAACTAGAAAAGTATTATATTAATTCTCAATGTTAAAGAAAAAATATTTATTTAATTATAAATTTTAAGAACGTCATTTTAATTATCTATTTTATGACAAAAGGACTAAACAAAAAAAATAATAGTAATCCACTAGGGAAAAGGTCATGCGCATCTCACCCGGTTTTGGCGAAATTCGTCAGGTAGGTGAGCATGGCTTCGGCCACCATCCGGTCCTGGAGGGACCAGTTGCCCGCGAACACTCCCAGCTCCCCCACCAACGGCGCCCCGAACACGAAGGGCAGCTCGTCGCCGTGGACGGCGCCCTTCACGTCCTGCAACACCAGCAGACAACAACACTCATTGCCTGAGAAGGAACTTCCTGGCACCGCACTTGAAGGTAAACTCAAGCATTCGTAAAGATTCGAATCGAACTCGAGCAGTCACAAAGCTTCGAATCAAACTCATGTCGCAAAGTTTCGAATCAAACTCATGTCGCAAAGTTTCGAATCAAACTAATGTCACAAAGCTTCGAATCAAACTCACACAGTCGCAAAGCTTCGAATTAAACTCAAGCAGTCGCAAAGCTTCGAATCAAACTCATGTCGCAAAGTTTCGAATCAAACTAATGTCACAAAGCTTCGAATCAAACTCACACAGTCGCAAAGCTTCGAATCAAACTCAAACAGTCGCAAAGCTTCGAATTAAACTCAAACAGTCGCAAAGCTTTGAATCACAACACTGTTATTTTTTTATTTACGAAGCTCTGAGTCACAGCATATTTTATTTTGAAAACTCTGAGTCACAGCATATTTTATTTTAAAAACTCTGAATTACGACATACTTTATTTTGGAAACTCTGAATCACAGCACATATTATTTTGAAAACTCTGAATTACGGCATATTTTATTTTGAAAACTCGGAATTACGACATATTTTACTATTGAAACTCTGAATCACAGCATATTTCATTTTGGAAACTCTAAATTACAGGACATATTATTTTGAAAACTCTGAATCACAGCTTATTTGTTATTTAAGAAACTCCGAAAGAAAGCATTCTATTATGTCAGCAGGTCTGAACTCCAAACTTGTATTATTTTCGAAACTGAATTACAACATTTTTAATTACGAAGCTTCGAATCTCATCATTGGTTTTTACAGAACAGTTAACTCTCAAGTTCACTAAAACTTATATAGTTATATGAGTTAATTTATTAAATAATTTTTTTATTTAATTCTGTAGTTCATTAACAGTGTATGTAAACAATGTATAATTCAAAATTTTATCAAAGTTTCATGTGATTCGAACTTCGTAAATATTTTTTTTGTAATTCAAGGCATTGTAAATAATTGTTTTTAATTTGAAGCCTCGTAAAATACAATGGAATTGTAAAATACAAATTCGAAACTTGGTACAAGATTTTTGTAAACATTCTGTATTTTCTGGAGTTATGATGTGATTTACTGTGATAAAGTGTGGGAATCTGAGACTGTGAAGTGATATGTTGTGTAGAGATTGGTTCAATGGTAAAGTGAAACTCTAGGGGTCCATAGCAAAGTGGCACTTTAGGTCTCATGGTAAAGTAGCACTTTAGGTCTCATAGTAAAGTGACACTTTAGGTCTCATAGTAAAGTGGCACTTTAGGTCCTATACATATGTAATGGTTTACACAATGGAGGAATAACACTCTTAGAGTAATTGATTATGTATGTGTGTGTTTGTGTATGTGTGTGTGTGTGTGTGTGTGTGTGTGTGTGTGTGTGTGTGTGTGTGTGTGTGTGTGTGTGTGTGTGTGTGTGTGTGTGTGTGTTTGTGAATGAATTCCCTTGTGCTGAAAAACATACCAGCATACTCAGAGACACATAATATACTATTGAGTATAACATATCCCATCACCAACACATATTCAAGTGATTTAGGTGTTTTCTATATGGAAGAAATCAATGTAGTTTAATGTATAAGTGATTGATTAGTATGTGAAAATGCCAAGTCTATCAGAAAGGTCTAAGAAGGTACTCACGTAAGGATTATCTGACTGTCTGGTCGAGTGGTCGAACAGGTAGAAAAACTGGTTTTTGTCGCCCATTCGGATATTATTCGCTGTGTTTATAAGCGGAGCGACATAGCGCGCGTCACTAAGGGCGGCTAAGGTAGCGTCCCTTGTAGCTGTCGGATGGGCGTTCGGACGCTCCCAATCCGTGTATTCGTTCACCACCGAAATATACACTTCATTGAGGTGATAGTCGTACGAATTACGCACTAACGTGCGGAAGATGCGGTCGCGGTGCTCCAGATCGAAGCCGTTCTCGATGTCATTGTCGCTGAAGACGTTGTAGGAGTCGAACGGCACCACCCCGAACATCAGGTCGTATTCTCGACTTACTTCGTCCGCTCTTTTCCTCAGTTCCCGCCGGAAATCATTTTTGATAACGATACCATCCACACTAGGCCCAAACGCGTACAAGAACTGTGGCGCGGCGATATGCACAGCCTGAAGGTCCTCCAACGGCTTCTCCTTCAGACAGTTAACCATTTGATCCAACTCATCGTTAGAAGGCATGAAACCAGGGTCGTGGAGGCTCATTTCAACCGGCAAATTAGCCGTACAATTGAGCGCGCGGCCAAACTGCAACGCGTAATGCGTCGGAGTCCCAACCGTGGCCCAAGGACTGAGAGCCGACCCGGACATAAGCACAGCTCGGTGGAACAGTCCAGGAACCACCGCCGCTGACGCCATCAGGAAATGTATACACGCCGCCCCAGTGCCATGACCCAAGAGTGTCACGCTGCCAGGATCACCCCCAAAGGCTCCGATGTTTTCTTGAACCCAGTGGAGGGCAGCAATTTGATCCATCAGACCATGATTGGTGACGTGTCCTCGTCCGCTAGGATGAGCATTGTTGTTCAGGAACCCTGAAATAGTGGAATTGCTTTAGAACCTATTCCATGGAATATCTGGCTGTCAACACGAAATATCTGGCTATCAACACGAAATGTCTGGCTATCAACTTGTAATATCTGGCTATCAACACGAAATATCTGGCTATCAACTTGTAATATCTGGCTATCAACACTAAATATCTGGCTATCAACTTGTAATATCTGGCTATCAACACGAAATATCTGGCTATCAACTTGTAATATCTGGCTATCAACATTAAATATCTGGCTATCAACACGTAATATCTGGCTATCAACACGTAATATCTGGCTATCAACACGAAATATCTGGCTATCAACACGAAATATCTGGCTATCAACACGAAATGTCTGGCTATCAACACGAAATATCTGGCTATCAACTTGTAATATCTGGCTATCAACACGAAATATCTGGCTATCAACTTGTAATATCTGGCTATCAACACTAAATATCTGGCTATCAACACTAAATATCTGGCTATCAACACTAAATATCTGGCTATCAACACTAAATATCTGGCTATCAACACTAAATATCTGGCTATCAACTTGTAATATCTGGCTATTAACACACACACAATATCTGGCTGTCAACGCGAAATATCTGGCTATCAACACGAAATATCTGTCTATCAACACGAAATATCTAGCTATCAACACTAAATATCTGTCTATCAACACGAAATATCTAACTATCAGCACGAAATATCTGTCTATCAACACGAAATATCTAGCTATCAACACGAAATATCTGTCTATCAACACGAAATATCTAGCTATCAACACGAAATATCTGTCTATCAACACACAATATCTGGCTATCAGCACGAAATATCTAGCTATCAACACGAAATATCTGTCTATCAACACGAAATATCTGTCTATCAACACGAAATATCTGTCTATCAACACGAAATATCTGTCTATCAACACACAATATCTGGCTATCAACACACAATATCTGGCTATCAGCACGAAATATCTAGCTATCAACACGAAATATCTGTCTATCAACACGAAATATCTGTCTATCAACACACAATATCTGGCTATCAACACACAATATCTGGCTATCAACACACAATATCTGTCTATCAACACACAATATCTGGCTATCAACACACAATATCTGGCTATCAACACGAGATATCTAACTATCAACACACAATATCTGTCTATCAACACACAATATCTGTCTATCAACACACAATATCTGTCTATCAACACACAATATCTGGCTATCAACACACAATATCTGTCTATCAACACACAATATCTGGCTATCAACACACAATATCTGGCTATCAACACACAATATCTGGCTATCAACACACAATATCTGGCTATCAACACACAATATCTGGCTATCAACACACAATATCTGGCTATCAACACACAATATCTGGCTATCAACACGAAATATCTGGCTATCAACACGAGATATCTAACTATCAGCACGAAATATCTGGCTATCAACACGAGATATCTAACTATCAGCACGAAATATCTGGCTATCAACACACAATATCTGGCTATCGACACACAATATCTGGCTATCAACACACAATATCTGGCTATCAACACATAATATCTGGCTATCAACACGTAATATCTGGCTATCAACACGAAATATCTAGCTATCAACACGAAATATATGTCTATCAACACACAATATCTAGCTATCAACACGAAATATCTGTCTATCAACACACAATATCTGGCTATCAACACGAGATATCTAACTATCAGCACGAAATATCTAGCTATCAACACGAAATATCTGTCTATCAACACGAAATATCTGGCTATCAACACGAGATATCTAACTATCAGCACGAAATATCTAGCTATCAACACACAATATCTAACTATCAACACGAGATATCTAACTTTCAGCACGAAATATCTGGCTATCAACACGAAATATCTGGCTATCAACACGAGATATCTGTCTATCAGCACGAAATATCTGTCTATCAACACACAATATCTGGCTATCAACACATAACTGTCTATCGACATAAATAACAAGCTATCAACACATACATTAAATGTTAAAAGCCAGGCTTTCAACATGATATCCATGGCTATCAACAAACAAACACCTGACTACGTTAAATATCATGTGTTGATATCTGACTGTCAGCAAAATATGGAACTCTGTACTTTTTTAAAAATGAAAATAATTACGTGACAATTAACATTAATCGCTGATCTCGTTAAAATAATTAATTACAGTGTAGAGATCATTGATATCATACATACGAAAGGGATTTACGATTACAAAAAATAGGATTTAATAGCTGAATAGCTAGTAATAGAGTAATCAGAGGCAGCTTAGGGTCAATATGTCTAAAAATGCACATATGCGATATTAAATTATAATTTAAATTAGCCGCCGAACCGTGTAAATAAAATAGCTTATGAGCTCAGAGTGCCATAGTATCCAGGGTTAAATATGCACTCGGGCGGGAGATTGGCACCAGCCTAGAGTGCCATAGTGCCTAGAGATAAGGTTGGCTTGCACTCGGACGGGAGATTGGCACCTGCCTAGAGTACATAGTGCCATAGTGCCTAGAGATAAGGTTGGCTTGCACTCGGACGGGAGATTGGCACCTGCCTAGAGTACATAGTGCCATAGTGCCTAGAGATAAGGTTGGCTTGCACTCGGACGGGAGATTGGCACCTGCCTAGAGTGCATAGTGCCATAGTGCCTAGAGATAAGGTTGGCTTGCACTCGGACGGGAGATTGGCACCTGCCTAGAGTGCATAGTGCCATAGTGCCTAGAGATAAGGTTGGCTTGCACTCGGACGGGAGATTGGCACCTGCCTAGAGTGCATAGTGCCATAGTGCCTAGAGATAAGGTTGGCTTGCACTCGGACGGGAGATTGGCACCAGCCTAGAGTACATAGTGCCATAGTGCCTAGAGATAAGGTTGGCTTGCACTCGGACGGGAGATTGGCACCTGCCTAGAGTGCATAGTGCCATAGTGCCTAGAGATAAGGTTGGCTTGCACTCGGACGGGAGATTGGCACCTGCCTAGAGTACATAGTGCCATAGTGCCTAGAGATAAGGTTGGCTTGCACTCAGACGGGAGATTGGCACCTGCCTAGAGTGCATAGTGCCATAGTGCCTAGAGATAAGGTTGGCTTGCACTCGGACGGGAGATTGGCACCTGCCTAGAGTACATAGTGCCATAGTGCCTAGAGATAAGGTTGGCTTGCACTCGGACGGGAGATTGGCACCTGCCTAGAGTGCATAGTGCCATAGTGCCTAGAGATAAGGTTGGCTTGCACTCGGACGGGAGATTGGCACCTGCCTAGAGTGCATAGTGCCATAGTGCCTAGAGATAAGGTTGGCTTGCACTCGGACGGGAGATTGGCACCAATCCAAAGTGCCATAGTGCCTAGAGCTAATCTTGACCTGCAGATTGGAACTAATCCAGGGATTACCAGTCATAAACGCATTCTAATGCCTCCATTCCTGTTGGTAATCCGTAAGTGATAATTTTGCTGGCACCTTTGGGACTTTGCTGGCACCTTTGTGACTCCCTTAAGAGTCAGTTTGTACAACTAATCTCTAAATGCCTAATTTCACAGGAACTAGTCCTATTTACACCTCTATAAACAACCCCAAAAACACTTGAATTGTTAATAAATGCTAACATAAAGATGTACAGGTTTCGTAAAAGGAGAAGGGAACTATCAGGGGGGGAAAGCGCCAAGCCATTACGACTATATAGCACTGGGAAGGGGTCAGGATAAGGATTTGGGGGGTGGGACGGTGGAAAGGAATGGTAGAAGGGGATGGACTGGTGGCGGAGATGTTCTCTCACCCCCTCACCTTACCTCACTAGGACCTACCTAGGGGCCCGAGACGGTAGTTGAGCGTGATAACGATCACCTCTCCGTAGGCAGCGAGGACCGAACCGTCGTAGGGGTTCGAAGCCCCCCACTCGAAGCTCTCCCCGTGAATGAAGACCACTACGGGAAGGGCTCTGTGCCCAGTCGTATCCGCCACTGTGGAGGAGAAAACACACACAGGATTAAGTTTCATTCACCTGGGTTCTGGGAGGCTTGAACCGTTGACCCCTTCAGGAGCGTGTAGAGCCGAAGCTCTATCGGACGTGCTATTCAGTGACCTTAATAAGGAAAAGTTCTATTTCCACGAAGTGTGGGTGTTACAACACACATGATTAAACGTTTTTGGCATGTGGTAAAGGGATCGCTGGAGTGGTTCAAGGCCTATGGACCAATAGCAGCTGCCTCGTATGGACCAATAGCAGCTGCCTCGTATGGACCAATAGCAGTTGCCTCGTATGGACCAATAGCAGCTGTCTCGTATGAACCAATAGCAGCTGCCTCGCATGGACCAATAGCAGCTGCCTCGTATGGACCAATAGCAGCTGCCTCGTATGGACCAATAGCAGCTGCCTCGTATGGACCAATAGCATCTGCCTCGTATGAACCAATAGCAGCTGCCTCGTATGAACCAATAGCTGCCTCGTATGGACCAATAGCAGCTGTCTCGTATGAACCAATAGCAGCTGCCTCGCATGGACCAATAGCAGCTGCCTCGTATGGACCAATAGCATCTGCCTCGTATGAACCAATAGCAGCTGCCTCGTATGAACCAATAGCTGCCTCGTATGGACCAATAGCAGCTGCCTCGTATGAACCAATAGCAGCTGCCTCGTATGAACCAATAGCTGCCTCGTATGGACCAATAGCAGCTGCCTCGTATGAACCAATAGCAGCTGCCTCGTATGAACCAATAGCTGCCTCGTATGGACCAATAGCAGCTGCCTCGTATGAACCAATAGCAGCTGCCTCGTATGAACCAATAGCTGCCTCGCATGGACCAATAGCAGCTGCCTCGTATGGACCAATAGCAGCTGCCTCGTATGGACCAATAGCAGCTGCCTCGTATGGACCAATAGCATCTGCCTCGTATGAACCAATAGCAGCTGCCTCGTATGAACCAATAGCTGCCTCGTATGGACCAATAGCAGCTGCCTCGTATGAACCAATAGCAGCTGCCTCGTATGAACCAATAGCTGCCTCGTATGGACCAATAGCATCTGCCTCGTATGGACCAATAGCAGCTGCCTCGTATAAACCAATAGCTGCCTCGTATGGACCAATAGCAGCTGCCTCGTATGGACCAATAGCAGCTGCCTCGTATGAACCAATAGCAGCTGCCTCGTATGAACCAATAGCTGCCTCGTATGGACCAATAGCATCTGCCTCGTATGGACCAATAGCAGCTGCCTCGTATAAACCAATAGCTGCCTCGTATGGACCAATAGCAGCTGCCTCGTATGGACCAATAGCAGCTGCCTCGTATGAACCAATAGCAGCTGCCTCGTATGAACCAATAGCTGCCTCGTATGGACCAATAGCAGTTGCCTCGTATGGACCAATAGCAGCGTCCTCGTATGAACCAATAGCAGCTGCCTCGTATGAACCAATAGCTGCCTCGTATGAACCAATAGCTGCCTCGTATGGACCAATAGCAGCTGCCTCGTATGGACCAATAGCAGCGTCCTCGTATGAACCAATAGCAGCTGCCTCGTATGGAACAATAGCAGCTGCCTCGTATGAACCAATAGCAGCTGCCTCGTATGAACCAATAGCTGCCTCGTATGGACCAATAGCAGCTGCCTCGTATGGACCAATAGCAGCGTCCTCGTATGAACCAATAGCAGCTGCCTCGTATGAACCAATAGCTGCCTCGTATGTACCAATAGCTGCCTCGTATGAACCAATAGCTGCCTCGTATGAACCAATAGCAGCTGCCTCGTATGTACCAATAGCTGCCTCGTATGTACCAATAGCTGCCTCGTATGAACCAATAGCTGCCTCGTATGAACCAATAGCAGCTGCCTCGTATGAACCAATAGCTGCCTCGTATGTACCAATAGCTGCCTCGTATGAACCAATAGCTGCCTCGTATGAACCAATAGCAGCTGCCTCGTATGAACCAATAGGAGCTGCCTCGTATGAACCAATAGGGGTTCAATTGATTCACTAACCCTACACGTTCACTTGCTCTCAATC